AAAAAAATTATCTCTTCTCTTTCGCTTAAATCGCCGTTATCATTTATCTAGTCACGGACAATATGACAACTCTTGTTACATACGTGGTGTTTGTCAGGTATCTTATCGCTAATTCATCAAGATGGGTGGTATTATTAACATGGCTTCAAAAAAGAAATATCCCCAAAGTTTTCAGTCAGTCTGTCGCCTCCAAGGAAGAAAGAAAAACACTTCTGGTTCCCCATAATTTTATTATCACCGGCCAAAGTTGTTTCGTCGAAAAGAATTCGGTCAGCGTACTGCTTGTGTGGGATTGAATTTTTCATATCTGTCCAAAGTCCTTTTTAGTGGCCTGTTTCTCGTCACTTATCGAAATAGCATTTTCACTTGAATTTTTCCCTGGCCAGTGGTCTAGATAACACAGCCATTATCAAAACACGTCTGGTTCCTTCCTTTTTTTCCCTTTCCTTCTTACTCAGAAATTCCCTGTCATTGTAATGACACCCTTTTTCATTTGTTACTTATCAATATTTTCATTGTCTCTTAGCTGTGTGTGTGTGTCTGCTTATCACCTATGAATCGTCTCGCATTTCTTTCTGCCTTCTTTTCTTTCTCTTCCTTTCTCTGCCTCGTAAATGGTGCCACAATTTACAATCTTACCAATGAGTAGCTAAAAACAATAGCTTTGACAATATAAATTTAAAATCTTACCAATGAGTAGCTAAAAACAATAGCCGTGACAATATAAATTTAAAATCTTACCAATGAGTCGCTAAAAACAATAGCCGTGACAATATAAATTTACAATCTTACCAATGAGTAGCTAAAAACAATAGCCGTGACAATATAAATTTACAATCTTACCAATGAGTCGCTAAAACAATAGCCTTGACAATATAAATTTACAATCTTACCAGTGAGTAGCTCAAAACAATAGCGGTGTCAATATAAATTTACAATCTTACCAATGAGTAGCTAAAAACAATAGCCGTGGCAATATAAATTTACAATCTTACCAATAAGTAGCTGCAAACAATAGCCGTGATAGTATAAATATTAAAAACAGAACACTTCTAATATTCTGCTACAGAACCAATTTGTTTAACTTGTTTAACAGTTTTGCCAAATACACGATCGAAAATTTACTGAAGGTAGAGGATGACTGAATGAATTTGTTTTAGGAGCACAAGAGTATCAGGCACATGCAGATTATATGGATCGGTAGGATTGATAGCAATTAACCCAAGACTTGAAGATGTTAAGATTGTATTGATCGGAGACGCAAACTTCTCTGGAGACTGTTCTACAAATGTATTTTCAGGGAGAAGCTGTTCGAATTGAACTTCATGTTTACCAGTGGAATACGAAGGAAAGTGAGTATGATCCGACGATTTGTATATGTCATGGCATGTCTTCGCTGAAAAGGTTTGCACTGCTGAAATTAATTAATGTATCTCTTCATAACATTTGCCATGGAAATAGCGATAAACGTATCGATTAGCCAGCGACTTTTTATCTGTCGGCAAAGAGTTTTAAAAGTCGCATGCCTATCACTTTGCCAACTTTTAGCTGGGATAAAATTATATTATATGTTCTCTGCTTATTTTACATGGGAGAAGGCGCACGGTTTCCGGGTAATCCGACCCTGATGGAATTCCTGCCGCATTGTACTAAGAATCTACTTATTCTATCTACCATTCACTAATGCTTAGATTATTACTGCCCCTGCTATTTACCTTGATAAAATCCAAATAAGAATCAGCAATATTATTGGTCCTGATCTGGCGGCTCGGCTTCAGTCACATTCCCACCGTTGTAAGGTTACCTTTGTGTTTCTTTTTTATAAATATTTTCATGGTAATTGTTTGGATCAGCTCTTCTTCTTCGTCATGTTACTCATTGTGCTAGTTTTTAGAATTGTTGTTTTATTCCCCTCTCCCCCCACAGACCACGAATTGTAAATATGGGGACTAATTAGTATTTTCATAGAGACAAAGAGGTATTATGGTGGTTGTAGTAAGAAAGGTACGAATGAATGTGTTGTTTTGGTGAAAGGAATATTGTTTCGTACGATTGGGTCAGTGTTTGCGGCTAGCTAAGTTATAGTTAAGACAGAAGAAGACCGTCCTTTCCCCAATCCCCTTTTCGGCCTTGTGCCACATTTCTGTATTGTACAGAATAAATATCGCTCTTCTTCTTCGTCATGTTACTCATTGTGCTAGTTTTTAGAATTGCTGTTTTATTCCCCTCCCCTCCACAGACAATTAATTGTAAATATGGGGACTAGTTAGTATTTTCATAGAGACAAAGAGGTATTATGTTGGTTGTAGTATGAAAGGTACGTATGAATGTTGTTTTGGTTTAAGAAATATTGTTCGTAAGATTGGGTCAGTGTTTGCGGCTAGCTATGTTATAGTTAAGACAGAAGAAGACCGTCCTTTCCCCAATCCCCTTTTCGGCCTTATGCCACATTTCTGTGGAAAACAGAATAAATATCGCTCTTCTTCTTCGTTACATTACTCATTGTGCTAGTTTTTAGAATTGTTGTTTCATTCCCCTCCCTTCCACAGACAATTAATTGTAAATATGGGGGCTAGTTAGTATTTTCATAGAAACAGTAAGGTTTATGGTGGATGTAGTAAGAAAGGTACGTAGGAATGTATTGTTTTGGTGTAAGGAATATTGTTTGTATTATTAGGTCAGTGTTTGTGGCTAGCTAAGTTATCGTTAAGACGGAAGAAGACCGTCTCTTCCCCAATCCCCGCTTCGGCCTTGTGCCACATTTATGTGTATTTAACAGAATAAATATTATTCTTCGGAATGTTAGCTAAACTTTTTGAAATACCGCACAGTACGAGATTCACGGTGAGTTCTGATCAAATTACATTTGGGCTGGCTAGATGTAACTGAAAACTCTATGCTAACAGTTTCTTTTCTCGTACCTCTCGCATGTAGAACACCCATCCCGCCCCATGCTTTTCAACCAAATTTAATCTGCAAGAATTTAAATGCAATGCCAATTGCTATCTACTGTCCTCCTGGTTACTTTTTTCTCGTCCCGCTTATTATTAATATGTTAATAATTAATAATTAATTAATTATTAATTATTACCACTAGGATGGCCGAGGTGTCGTTTTCGACACCTTCAAATTTTCAACAAATTACTATGGAATAACTAGTTTTGGTTCGATGCTGAGGCTTATGGACAATTATTGAATTTTTAGCAAAGATGCTTAACAGACTTAATTCTTTAAAAAATATTCAGTGGAATAGCTGATATTTGAGGTTTTACCTTGAATGGCCGAGGTGTCGTTTTTGACACCTAGGCTATTCATAGGGTAAATGCATTGAAAAATATCTCACAAGCAATAATAGTTGTGTTTATGTCCCCTATCTATGTATCTATTTATCTATCTATCTACACACACACACACATAATTTATATATATATATATATATATATATATATATATATATATATATATATATATATATATATACAGTGTAACCCGGACATAAGAGTGTTGTCAGGACCGGAGAAGAAGTCTCTTATATCCGGGTTTCTCTTATATCCGGGTTTGGTCTATTTTATATACATTAACACAGGCTCTAATTTGGGACCAGAGAAAATCTCTCTTATATCTGGGTTACACTGTATATATATATATATATATATATATATATATATATATATATATATATATATATATATATTAATCAATTTCTTTTTCAGTATGAGGTATACTAATATTTGTGAATTTCTTTTCAGACTTGTTATTCCTGACTTGAATATTGAATATATTAGAGATGGCTGCTTCGCGCCGTAATGGACATAAAAATGTCAAAGGAGCTGGCAATCCTAGTGTTAATAAGTCTCTGTTCCTAATTCTTCCACACCCATTAATCCCTTGTGTTTTAGTGCCCTTGTTGTCTTGCATGTGGTGATACTAATCTTTAAAAAAAGAAGAGTTGTGGTGGGTGTGATATCGACGCCTGCCTGACACTGATCTCAAGAACTGGGAATTTTTGGTCTTTGGTCCATATGTATGTGTGGCGGTAGCCCACGTAGAAAAACGTCAATGTGCCAAATCCTGCCTTAGTGCTGAGGCGTGTTAAATACTGTCACTACTCTATTATTATTCACATGTCAAATAATATCAAATTATTTGATATTTGTATATCAAATAATCACATCCCGTACTTATACGAATTCCCTTCTTTACAGCTTTTAGTTATCGTATAATGAGATAAAATTTGTAAACGCTTCTAATAAATGCGAGTGGGACCCAAGGTCCCTTATTGCCACCATTTCTAACAGCAGAATTTTAAAATAACCAAATCTTGTATAAAACTCCTTTTTATGAAATAGCCGTAAGTTGTGAGGCCACTAGTATTTATTGAACGAGAAATGGACTCTCACTTTTGGCTATATGATTCTATCCAGGAAAAGTTTTCAACAATGCATGAACGAAGTTTAAAGGTAATCAGTATTGACATCAAGAAGAAAAAGCGAAGAGACACGGCTGCATTCCGACTCCAACAATGAGACCACCATCCCACACATACACATTGATTGTTGCAGATTTAGATAAAGTCAAGTCTGACGTTAGTACGGCGCGGCTTTCTTGTTTGTAAGATGACTATTCACAATATTATTTATTAAACTTAATCGCGCGTGCTTCAAAGCAATCTGCAGTCGACCAAGAAGTCTGAAATCAAATTTAGTTAAAACCTTCTCCTGCCCATTCCTCCATATCTGTCCTAAATGTTTGATATCGGCAGATCAAGCAAGGAACAACAAGGGTCGAAGATGGAGAGAATTCTAGAGAGAGATTATTTACCACTTCGTTTTGCATTGCTTATCAAGTTAGGGATTCCCGTCTACTTTTATATTGTTTCTTCTCTAGTCAGTAATACCATATTTGGTGTGGCTTCGAAAACCAAGATGGATGGGAGACACGAAAAAGAGGAGAACAAAAAAAAAAAACAGAAATAATGCAGCAAATACTAGAAAATGAACTATACAGCTAGTAAACGAATATTAATGAACAAGATAGAGGAAAAAGAGGAAGAAAGAGAGAGAGAAACAGGAAGCGGTAAAATAAGAAAGAAAGAAAGAAAGAAACAAAAGAAAGAAAGAAAAGAAAGAAAGAAAGAAGCAGAAATAGAAAAGAAAAGAAAAAAAAGAAAAGAAAGAAGCAGAAACGAAATAGAAAGAAAGAAAGAAAAGAAAGAAAGAAAGAAAGAAAGAAAGAAAGAAAGAAAGAAAGAAGCAGAAACGAAATAGAAAGAAAGAAAGAAAGAAAGAAGCAGAAACGAAATAGAAAGAAAGAAAGAAAGAAAGAAAGAAAGAAAGAAAGAAAGAAAGAAAGAAAGAAAGAAAGAAAGAAGCAGAAACGAAATAGAAAGAAAGAAAGAAAGAAAGAAAGAAAGAAAGAAAGAAAGAAGCAGAAACGAAATAGAAAGAAAGAAAGAAAGAAAGAAAGAAAGAAAGAAAGAAAGAAAGAAAGAAGTAGGGGAAAGAGAGAAAGAAAGACGCGGAAAGAAAGACAGAGATAAAATTGCGGAAAGACAATATAAAAAGAAAAGAAAGAAGTGAAAAGAGAAAATTAAGTAGAAAGAAAGAAAGAAATAATAAAAGAAAGAATGAAAGAATAAAAGAAAGAAAGAAAGAAAGAAAGAAAGAAGTAGGAGAAAACGAGAAAAAATGAAGACAAGAATTTTCTCAACAGGTTTCGACTTGAGGTGCTTTTACATTTTCATTGGGTGCTTTCATCTTTGTCACTTTTGTATTCAATGCGCTTCTTTTTCTTTCTTCCTTTCTTTCTTTCTTTCTTCTTTTTCTTTTCTTTCTTTTCTTTCTTTCTTTCTTTCTGTATTTCTTATTCAATTTGACGTTCAGATTTTCATTAACAATATATCTATATGTCGACTCTTTCTTTAGCTTTCGCTCTCTCTGTCTTTCTGTCTAAATGCTTCTCTCTCTCTCTCTCTCCCTCTGAATAGATTTGATAAGGCCTGGTTACTAGCAAGATCAAATGATGGGAACAATTTTGTAGGAAGCGTGTGTCACATGATTTCAGAGAGAGAGAGGAAAAGAGAGAGAGGGGAAAAGAGAGAGAGAGAGTGGAAGAGAGAGAGGGTGTCAAACTTGAAAGTCGTCTTTATAAATCTAAAGCGTTATCTCATCTCAAACACTGACATCTGACAATGACATGAAATGCTAACTCAATCCCGAAGCAAACCCTAAACTTTTATCAAGTATAATTTCGAATAACTTATCGATATATATATATATATATGTGTATATGTGTATGTGTATGTGTGTGTGTGTGTGTGTGTGTGTGTGTGTGTGTGTGTGTGTGTGTGTGTGTGTGTGTGTGTGTGTGTGTGTGTCTATCGGTGTGTATGTTTAAATAGTTGCTTATCTAGACAGACAGTGAAACCTGCCAAAGTTGCTCTAATATACTTTTGGAAAATACGCCCTTAAGGCCCTCATTCACATGTAAAAAGATTTACAACAATTAAAAATAATGAAAGAATTAATAATAATAAAGAAAAATTCAAAACTTAATATCAACTCGGAAAATGCTTACAAAATAAAATAAAAACCTTGCCATTCATATAATTACATACAGATATAAAACTACACACACACACACACACACACACACACACACACACACACACACACACACACACACACACACACATATATATATATATATATATATATATATATATATATATATATATATAATGGCTAATAGAATAGCCGAAAATGCGTAGACATAAAGAACATTTGTACAGTTTTACACCACCTTATTCATAGAAAAGAAAATATGAAAACAAAGTTGAATCAAAATCTCAATCAGGGAAAGTTGTCTGTCTTCTTAAATAAAATATGCATAAAATAGCGAAATTCGGCAACACACACACACACACACACACACATATACATATATATATATATATATATATATATATATATATATATATATGATGTTTAAAATAATATATTTTGACAGTATGTTATTATAAAGGCATGTGAACTTTTCCGTGTAATTTTTTTGGGTGTGTCTCGCTAGTTTTTTTTTATATTTGGTTCTATGTTGCACTGGCAGAAATATTTCAGACATTTAATAACTATTCCTCCAAATAATAAACACCAAAACCCACATTATTAATAATTAACTAATCTGTGTAAATACTTAAAATATTATCTATAAAACTAAAATACTAAACAACTTATTTCAAACTAAAACATGCAGCCATGATGACGGTTGACGATAAACGGAAACGCTCATGGATTAAGGTCTTATTTCAACAGCTTTGACCCATATATATATATATATATATATAAACAAGAAAAAACAGGAAAAAAAAAGGTTATTACACGGAAAAGTCCGTTGCTTTTAAAAACACATGTCTATATATATATATATATATATATATAAAAGAAATATAGTGGGTTCCAACGAGAGAAAATATGTATATTAAAAAGAAGAGGGTGCCGCAAACGTTTTTGGTTGTAATGAGGATTTATTGAGAAAAAATATTATACTTTGTTTTACATAATTTCACGACACGTGTTTCTGGTCTGGTCTCGCAACCGTCTTCAGGTGAAAGTGGAGAGTTTTACATATTATTAAAATAATTAATTTTTCTTCATGTTCAATGTGGAATATTCTCGATATGAGACATTCTGTTTGTGTTGGCAATCCGAATTTTCTTTCTAGAATTGTCAATGAAGAGTTCTGCGTGAAGGGTCATAAAACAATTAAGGTTTGTCCAGCGAGTAGTTATCGGCATTTAATCTTTTAATGTTTTAGTGACTCTATGTGCTCTTGGATCTGTTTCTATTTTGGCGTATTCCTGTCAGCATGCGTGTATATATGCGTGCGTATATTTCCACTACGAGGAATTCGTAAACTTATTTGTACCTATACACGCATACACACACATACACACTATCCCACAAGTAGTCAGTACACACACACATACACATATTTCCCAAGCTACATGGAACCAGTACACACACACACACACACACACACACACACACACACACACACACGTACTTCTTATGTTGTCAACATCCGCATATACATACATAAATGTATGTATGTGTACATACATATATATATCTCTCTCGTGTCTCCCGTATATGAGTGTGCGTCCATGTATGTGAGCGATCATTGTATTTGGTCACCCTGTGTGCATTTTTTTTTTTTTTTTGGGGGGGTTTGATCTATTCAGTTCGGGTTTGAATTTGTCTATAAAGTTTTTTCCTGTATTTGTAGATACGAGTAATTGTCTGTTTGATATATCGGCATGATATTAAAACCCTGGTTACATTTGAAATGTGTTGTGATACAAAAGTTTTCTGTTGTCTGTCAATTTTATATTGCTTTTTGTGTAGGGAGACCCTGTTGTTCAGTTGTTGGCTGATGCCTATATATGACTTCTTACATTTTTGCATTTAAGTGCATAAAACTACATTTTGGAGTTGCAGTTTAAGTTTTTGTTTATTGTGAATGTTTTTTGGGTTTTCAAAAGTGTAGGAGTTTCCTTCTATAATTGATGTCACAAACTCCACATCTTTTTTGTTGCATTTGTGACTCCCTGTATTTTGTGTTGACTAAATTTAGATAGGTTAATATGTGTTTTTAGGTTTCTAGATTGGCGTTTGCTCTTAATTATTTTGGTTGTTTTTAGTATATTATTCAGTTTATTATTCTTGCTAATAAATCTAGATTTTTTTGTGATTTCTGGGAATATTTCTGGGTTGTTTTTGTTGTACGTTGAGACATGCTAGAGTTTGTTCGACGTTACGTTTCTTTTTGTTTGCAAAGTTGGTCTAGAGGAATTTCTTTCCTTGAGTTCAATACCTTTGTTTACTAGTGTTGTGGGGTAGCCTCGTTTCTTGAGAGTTTTATGTAGTTCTTCTAAGCGGATTTTTCGGAGATGTTTATCAGTCACTATTGTACAAATTCTACGTGCTAGGGAATAGGGGATGGATTTTAGGCAGCTTTTTGGGTGATGGCTCTTGAAATGAACGTATTGTTGGGTGTCTGTGGGGTTTGTGGTAGATATCTGTGATTATGTGGTTGTTTTTATTTCTAATGAGTATATCTAAAAATGGTAATTCGTTAAAATTATATTCTTGCGTGAATTTGATTTTTGGGTGTAAGTTTTGAAGTAGTGTATGGAATTGGTTAATATCACCCCATGATGATTTCCAAAAGATGAAGCAATCATCTAGATATCTTTCCAAGATTTAGTGAATTGGGTCTTTATATTTGTCCCATATATTTGTTCTATCTTTTCATAGAGGTTTTTCTTCTAGGTAAGCTAATGTTAGGTGGCATATGTTGGTGTTATTTTTGTTCCCATCGCAGTACCTAGGGGTTTGGATATAGTTTTTTTGTTGTCAAATTCAAAGGTGTTATTGTTTAGAATTAGGTCTATACTATCGATAATGAACTCTTTAGTGAATCTCGGATGTAGTATTTCTGGATGTTTTCAATCCAGAATGAGATCGCTTTTTTCCTAGTTCATGGGGTATGTTACTGTATAGGCTACTGATGTCAAAAGTTGCCATAAGCGTTCCCGGATCTACCTTTTGTGGTATGCAGCTAAGGAAATGGATATCGTCTCTGATGTGGCTTTTAATTTGTTTAGTATATGGTTGCAATATTATGTCTATTAGGTTACTGAGTTTGCTAGTGGGACAGACTGGTCCTGCTACTATGGGTCTGAATGTAAGGTCACTGGGGTTTGGGATGCTAATGTATTCAGATTTTTGTGTATGTATAGCTGCTTTTATTTCCTCGATTTATGAACTTTAGGTAGTCCGTAGAAATTACTTGTTTTTTGGTACAAAGTTTATTAGAAATCCTTCTCTTTTTTTTTGTTAATATTTTATTATGTGTTGTGCAGAGTTTTGTAATTTTTTTTTATAATGTTTTTGTCTATGTTAGTGTCAATTACTTTGTAGCTGTTCCTATCCTCTAGTGTTTCTAGAATTTTTGTTTTATAGTATGTCCATGATTACTATTGCCTTTATCTGCTTCTTTTATAATTATGTTATTATTTTTTCGAATGTTCTCTAAGGCTAGTCTTTGTCTATATGTGAGATTGTCGAATGATTTGGATTTTCCTGTAGGTCAAGGTTCCAGAGTTTTTCAAAAATATATTTATCTCATTGGTATTGTTATTTTGTTTGGGAATAAATTGGATTTGTTTTTACTAGTGACTCATCTGTACTACTTTCGCTATTGTTAAATTTCTCTTAGTCTCAGTTTGCGTTCAAATTCCTTAATGTCTTTTTTTAAGTCTACTATATTGCTTTTAGGAGCAGGATGAATTTTAGGCCCAATTTCAGTAGGTTGATTTTTGTCATTTGTAAGTGTATATGTAGATAGGTTTATTATTTTGGGTTTTGTGTCATCTAAACGGGTTTTTTCTTGTTCGGACTGGGGCTTTAAAAAATAATGATTGTTTCTTTTAATATATCTTTGGTTTTCTAAGAGATACCTTCTTCCTGTACATTTGAGTTTTTCTAGCCAGTGAGAGTTTCCTTGGTAAAAATTAGTTGTTGTTTCTCGATAGCTCTATATAGGTGTGTTGGCTTTTGTTGGGGGCCTGTTCCAGATGTTCCTAGGTTTGTTGTTTTTTTTGTATTGATTGTATGTGGATTGTGTGTAGAACTTTTGTGAAATTCTGGTTGTACTCCTGGATATAGGTAATGGTTGCCTGGTTTGGTTTGTTGTGCTAGGTGGTATTTGTAAGAGTTGGTTGTGTGAATGTGTGTGTGTTCTGATCTTTGACTGTTTGTGTTATGGTGTGGTGGTCTGTACAGGTTTATTTTTGCGCTGTTCAGTGTATGTTCATAATTGTATTTTTTATGTGGGTGTGAATGCGTGTGGTGGTGGTATGTATTGGGGTTCCTGCTTTGTGTATGTGTTTGTGTGTAGTAGAATGTGTTAGGATAATCACTTTACACTTTTGAAAACCCAAAAAAAACATTCACAATAAACAAAAACTTAAACTGCAACTCCAAAAATGTAGTTTATGCACTTAAATGCACAAAATGTAAGAAGTCATATATAGGCATCAGCCAACAACTGAACAACAGGGTCTCCCTACACAAAAAGCAATATAAAATTGACAGACAACAGAAAACTTTTTGTATCACAACACATTTTCAAATGTAACTAGGGTAAGTTTAATATCATGCCGATATATCAAACAGACAATTACTGTATCTACAAATACAGGAAAAAAACTTTATAGACAAATTCAAACCCGAACTGAATAGATTTAACCCCCCCAAAAAAAAACATGCACACAGGGTGACCAAATACAATGATCGCTCACATACATGGACGCACACATATACGGGAGACACGAGGAGAGATATATGTGTATGTACACATACATACATTTATGTATGTATATGCGGATGTTGACAACTTAAGAAGCATGTGTGTGTGTGTGTGTGTGTGTGTGTGTGTGTGTGTGTGTGTGTGTGTGTGTGTGTGTGTACTGGTTCCATGTAGCTTGGGAAATATGTGTGTATATGTGTGTGTGTACTGACTACTTGTGGTGGGATAGTGTGTATTTTGTGTATGCGTGTATAGGTACAAATAAGTTTTTACGAATTCCTCGTAGTAAGGAAATATACGCACGCATATATACACGCATGCTGACAGAATACGCCAAAATAGAAACAGATCCAAGAGCACATAGAGGTCACTAAAACATTAAAAGATTAAATGCCGATAACTACTCGCTGGACAAACCTTAATTGTTTTATGACCCTTCACGCAGAACTCTTCATTGACAATTCTAGAAAGAAAATTCGGATTGCCAACATAACAAACAGAATGTCTCATATCGAGAATATTCCACATTGAACATGAAAAAAATTAATTATTTTTAATAATATGTAAAACTCTCCACTTTCACCTGAAGACGGTTTGTGAGACCAGACCAGAAACACGTGTCGTGAAATTATGTAAAACAAAATAATATTTTTTCTCAATAAATCCTCATTAACCAAAACGTTTGCGGCACACCTTCTTTTTAATATATATATATATATATATATATATTTATTTATTTATTTATTTATATATATATATAGAGAGAGAGAGAGAGAGACACATCAGAAGTCATCGATAAATATTTTATGTTAGAAGACGTGTCATTTGTTTATTTCCTATCAATCTCTCTACATCCCCCTCTCTTTCTCTCTATATATATATATATATATATATATATATATACATATATTTATACACTACCAATCTATCTCTTAATACCAATCTTTTAATACCTATCTATTTTTATATCTTATCTTGTATAGATAGATACAATGAGACTGAAAATGATAGATATATAGATAAATACGAACAAACAGAAATAGATTGATAGATATGAACAGAACGTGATAGATAGATAGATAGATGACTGAATTGGGTAATGTTATATATAAATGCATTCATTGTAAATGCAAATCTTTAGAATTTCAAATTTCTCAGTACACATCATAGTTCAAAGAATCCTCTTTTTCCCATCGAATTCCTCGTATAACAATGTCTTTCTAAAAAACATAAAAGGCATATTTTATACTTTCGCAAATCATTGCAAAATAAGAAATAATATTATATGAAATGCTTATTCTTAACCTGCTGGTTTTATAATCAAAACGAAGGCGTCTCACGAGTTCATTCAGATGTCGAGCGACATCGAGTAAGCGGTGACCCATTTTAGTCGCATCATCTGTCTATATAGCGATTATCTGCCCTGCTGCGGCGTGGAATCTGAATCATATCGCCTAGTTGTATTTCATGCTAACATTCGACTCAATGTGTTTTTCCAGTCAGTGTTCGTGTCTACCTCATGGTACTCAACTTTGAGGCTATTTTTTAGAACTGATCCCAAAATGTTACTAATTTTTCTGTTTCAGTGTATAATCTTACATATGTCATGTCAGGGTCTGAGCGATAAAGGTCTCTATAAAATCCTATGCCTCATAGTGTTGCGATCTGTGTCGTTTCTGGGTACCCACAATACTATATATAATTGGATCAACGAAAAGAGATATTACTTTATTTGCATTCGTTTTATTAGGAGAAAGTGGGGGTATATTGGATTTAAAGAAGCAGCAGGAGGAGTAACGTCACAGAAACGTATGTTGCATGTTCCCTGATCGTCAAACACACTCCACCCGTGGTGGTATTAGCCTTTCGCTAAACTATGTGTGGGAGACGTATCGACACTTTAGATTTCTTGAGACACCCTGTTAAAAAGAGAGAGAAAGAGAAACAGGGACCGGAAAATTAAGAAAGAAAGAAATCAAGAAAGAAGAATATGATGGGAAGAGAGATAAAGAAAGAAAGAAAGAAAAAAAAGAAAGAAAGAAAGAAAGAAAGAAAGAAAGAAAGAAAGAAAGAAGAGAGTAGCAGAAACGAAAAAGAAAGAATTCAAGTAAGAAAGAAAAAAGTAGTGGAATGAGAGAAAGGAAGTAGCGAAAAGAAAGACAGAAATAAACCAGCGGAAAGACAATATAAAAAGGAAAGAAAGAAGCGAAAAAGAAAATTAAGTAGAAATAAATAAATAAATAAATAAAGAAATAGGTAGGAGAAAACGAGAAAAATGCCAGTAGGAGAAGTCCCAAGAACCTATATCGCATGTTGCCTGAGCGTCAAACACACTCTACGGCTGGTGGTATCAGCCGGTCGCTATACTGTGTGTGGGAGACCTATCGACGCTTTAGATTTCTTGAGACATCCTGTTAAATTCCCGCCGTTTTGGACTTATATTCAAAACCCGGTCAAAATCAATCTCTCATTGTCAGAATACCCCGCCAACGAGGTATTCCAGCCAATCGCTGACCGTTCTAGCCATGGCCTTTGCATTCTGTAACAATAGTTTCTCGGCATTTGTTCTATTACACATGCTGCCATCCATTTACAAAAAATCATTAAATAGTTTCCTCTTTTTTTGACTACTACTCTTGAATGTCATGTGAATATGAAATTTGCCAAGCCTTCTTTCCTTATTATATGACCAAGAAATATCACTTGTCTTTTTCAGAGTTTAACTAAAAGTCTGCTCTTCGTTTCCATTTTCCTTTAAGATTCCTAGTTGGTTACGTGTTACGTCCATGCTATTCTTAGAATACTTATATTTTTTTCGCAGAGTTTAACTTCTTAAGTGCTTAAAATGTTCCCCTTCAACATTGCAACATTGCAACATTCCTCGAAACTATTCAAACACTATGACACAGAGCACAAAACAAATCCAGAACTGCATGAATGTCAATAAATACTTTTGTAATGTTTTCATTCGTCCGCTGTGTGAGGATTTCTACCCCCAAAAAAACATATGCTGCCCTACTGCCGAAGCAACGCCATGAAAAGGTAAATTTAAGGTAGTCCCTTACTACCAAAGTATAATGGGGAGGTGCTTCAATTTGCAGAAAGAAAAGTTCGGTGAAGTTTGCTCTGGTTCTGATCTCTGGAAACGTGAAATATAGAGAGAAACAACTGTAAACCTACCTTAAACCAACCCGGGACATCAATCCGTCATTGTAAAGCATTTTCGCTTTTCAAGTACTGATCAATGATTCTTTCAAACTAACATCTCCATCATTATTGTTCTTATTATTAAACTCCAGTTTGAATACATCCTGTCCCTGGTGAAATATACGTGTTTCCTACGGCATTTCAATCCTGAAATAATGTAAAATACGATGTAGCAGTACACCGTGTAAAATGCTTTTACAATATGTATGAACGCTTGGTTAAATCCATAATATCTCATGGAATATACTTTAAAGTAACAAAGTTGTCATTACCTTAGATAAGTTAAATTACATATATTAATTAAACCTTTATACTTAAATTATTTTCTCATTTCATTTCTATTATCACTATTAAATAATAATGTAATACATTTGAAAACGAACTGATTACTCCGACTTCCACTGTAAAATATTTATGCTCGTTCCTCGTCATACTCGAGGGCTTGCAGTCCCAGTAATCCCAAGAGAGAAGTCGTCTGGAGATGCAACTTCTATAGAGCTACCCATGCCAGTAAGATCGTGGAGAAGAGACTGGACACGACCAAACCCCGAAGACCCCCAACGGCGGAATATGCAAAGATTAACACGATCTTTACGGCCAAATAAGCTGAAGAGGGCAGCACCAGTCGGGCTGGCGTAACCAAGGTGTATTTTGATAGATCAAACATCCGACAGCCCGATGTAATCAGGTTTGGCAATCACCGTTGAACTATGAGGGCGGTGCTTATGGCCAACAATGTGGGCGTCTCCGTCGCGCAAAGTTTTCCATTAAAACCAAATTCACGTTACCGGCCTCGTAAAACTCTATTTCATTCACAGCCATTTCTGCCACTGCTACCAGGGGAGAGAAAAAGACTAGAGAGAGAGGATGACGATCCTGATGATCAGATGGCAGTCGGTGCCGACAACATAGCCTAGGACTTATGGAAGTTCACAACGAGACACATTCATTCAAATACAATTGTTCTCCTTCCTTTATTTTTTGCTTCACTTTTATCGTCCACGTTAGGAAACTGAAAAAGTCATCGCATTCATTTTGCATTATTAATTAGCATTTATTAACCTGAGCAGGGCATGACACAAAGGAACAGAAATAGAAAACTTAATAACAGAAAAGCGGGCAATAGGAAATCGCTCGTTTCAAAGATTGGTTGTCATTGTTTCAGACAAGCGCCTCAACTTTGTCATTTATCATAGTGTCAGTGCCGACTATTTCAAGTTGTTTTCTTTTTAAAATCAACTCTTAGAAGAAACGTTAGTAGGGTAAACTTTATTTCATAAAGGGAATAAGATTTTCACCATTCTTTTTATCTTTGTCGTTAGAAGAAATTTTATAGTTATTGGATCATTCTTTCCTTCAGTCTTCCTGCAAATGTCTTTTGAATCTTTCATTGCTCATAGATAGGAACACACTCGCATCAGGGCCGTAATCCTATCTCATTATTCTCTTTATACCTTCTGGTTGCGGTGGCGGAAATACCTGTGAAGGCCCAGCCTACTGCTGACGCGTCGTGAGAAGTAGTTACATAGGAGGTGGTGGACGCGGGTTGGCTAGTCGGACCCTCCTTTCAGCACGTCGCAGATCCTCTTCATGTTGTTGGTTGGACACGAATGTCTTGGAACCCCTCTCGGATGGTCGTACGCCAGGAAGGTTGATTTTCAGCAGCGGTTTGTTAGACCTCAGGATCAATAATGGCCTGTGTCAGGGATATCGTCAGCTGATCCTTGGAGCTTCGTGTAACCTCTTGGCTGGCGAGTTCTCCAAACAGGATGGTAAATGGAGAGTCGAGTGGGCCGTGACCTGCATATATATATATATATATATATATATGGATAAACTCTGACAAGATAAGCTTATGGGATGAAGGAGAATCTTACAAAGTCGACAGCTTTATCGTACCATTCCTCATATTTTGCTTTCTAAGATTTCTTTGTCTTTTACTGAACATTGATGAATTTCAAAAAAATAAATAAAAATAAAAAATAAATTAACTGCACGTTCGTTAGTTATTTTTCAGAAGTCATTCTTCTTTGATTATGTATTTTTGAAATTGTAAAATAAGTTTTGGTGATAGTAAAATTAACCATTTAAAAAGACAAAACATTTGACATATATTGATAAGAAGTTAGCGTTACTACTAATTGGGATTTTAAAATATTTTTCGTCATTTTTTTTTTTTCAGGAAGATATGTTCTTGATGGGAGTTTCTTACCAAAGATAAAACATCACTTCGATAAGTTGGAATTGACAGATGATGTGAAAAAATAACGTAAATTTTGTTGTTAATTGGGATAAAGATAGGTTTTCAAAACGATACTTCTCTCAATCACTCAAAAGACAGTTTCCTGCTTTCCATTTGCATGATTTAGGCTAACCTCGATGCTGGTGACTCCTCCTTCTCAGTCGAACATCTTCATCTGATGTGAAGTGGAAAGGCAATATTGAATTTATTATTAGGCATTGGGTCATGCTAGACATTTTTTCTTCCCATAATCTATTATACATATTTATAATTCTAGCATTCATCCATCCTTTTAATATTGCTGTCAAATCTGGTCAAGTGACTCCGATATGTATTTAGAGATTCTTGATAAAATCCAAAGGAGAATCAGCAATATTCATAGTCTTGATTTTACACCTCGGATTCAGTCACTTTCCTACGGCCATAAGGTAGCTTCCCTGTGCTCTTTCTATAAATATTTTTTTTACCGTAGTTGTTCGGATGAACTCTTCACAATTGCTGTTGTTTTATTCCCCTCTCAGCGCAGACAATAAATTGTACATACGTGAACCTTGTTGGGAATTTCATGGAGACACTATGGTGGATGTAGTAAGAAAGGTAAGTAGGATGCTTCGTTTGGGTGTAAGGAGTATTGCCCTACGTTTGGGTGAGTGTTTGTGGCTAGCTAAG